CCGAGCCCCACCTCGCACAGCCAAGTGGGTTTATTATCCCCTTCCATCCCGCTCGTTATGGCGGAGAGGAAGTAGCATCGGGGCCAGATCCGTGAAGGGAAACACTTCTCCGGGGCAAAGGGGCACAGGCTCTGCTCTGCCCCTGCTCTGGCTGCCCAGACCCTTCCCCAGGCGCGTCCCGAGGCAGGCGGGAGCTGCTCTGCTCTGTGGGGAGGGAGGGCCGTGGGAGGGGAGGGGGCCGCAGCTTTGCAGCAGAGCGCTGATGAATGGAGCCTTTGTGCTAGCTGCTGCAGCGCCGTTACCACGTCAACCTTCAGCGGAGGAAGAAACGGAGCCAGCTCCGCTCCCCGCATCCGCCCGAGCCCGGCTCCCTCCAAGCACTGCCTTTTGTCTGGGCCAGCAGCAAGGACGCGACACGCAGCTCCGCAAAAAACGGAGCCAGCTCCGCTCCCCGCATCCGCCCGAGCCCGGCTCCCTCCAAGCACTGCCTTTTGTCTGGGCCAGCAGCAAGGACGCGACACGCAGCTCCGCAAACGGCCCCAGAGCTGGGTCACGTCCCAGGGCCGAAGCGCCTTTCCCCGGGCGGCCGTGGGAGCGGGCACGCAGGGGTGAGAGAATCGCCCTGCAGCCAGTTCCTGGGAGCAGCAAGCAGCCAGGCAACACTTCACATGCCCAATATTTTCGGTTCCCAAAGAGGATAAAAACCTCCTCTCCTCCAGTCCTGCACACAGAGATGCGAAACCCCTAAGCGAGACCTCTGCCAGGTAAGGGAGAGCTTCCCCACCTCACACTGGGGCAACTGCAGGGACAGTGAGGTGATTTTCAGGCAGCGTTTAAAGCTCCACCAACAAATCTCAAGCCCCTTCAGGGCAGCCTTTGGTAACGAGCCGCTTGCAGGGACCGCAGACGGTGGGAGCGGCGAGCAGGTCCTCAGCACGCAGCCCGCGCTGCGCTGGGGCTGCTGGAGAGCTCTGCTGGGGACGGGATACAGCCGCAGCGCTTGTGCATCAGCAAACAACCGGCTTTACCTTCAGGTCCGTGTTGAGAATCCAGATGAACGTGCAGACCCTGGGGTTGCTGGGACATTTCAGCACGATGAATCCTCCGGGCCCGTTCTCACCCCTGCAGGGAACCGAGAGCGCACAGTGAGAGCCGGGGCCGGCTGACACGCCGTGCTGCGGGGTGCACTGCACCGACCCCCCATGCTACCCCCTCTGCCCGGCAGCGAGGGCTGGAGCCCGGCGGGGTGCGAGCAGACGTGCAGCGTGCCTGGGAAGGTTTCTGCTCTGGCTGCAGGCACACGAGCAGGCACGCCCACCCGACACCGGCTCTTCACCGCGGGGAGGTTTCCGAGGCACAACCCTGTGGAAATGGGTGCAAGGGAGCAGGGCGCAGGAGAGCCGAGCCGCCAGGGAAACCCTGCGCAGTCAGGACAGGCTCAGCACGGGCAGCATTGTCACTGCAGCCCCCAGACCCTTCCTCGGACCATCTGATCCGACTCAGAGACGAGAGCTTTGCTCACACACAGAGCCCAAATACAGATTTCCCTTCCCTGTTCAGGAACACGCTATTTTTTGCTGCATACATTTCTAAAAAGATTTTCTAGGCCCTGAAGTCTCCAGCTCTTAAATAGACTGAGGCAGCTGTAACGGCTCCGAGTTAAAATGTCAATTACTTTAACCAGATTATTAGGAAAAACAAAGTCAGTGCGCGAAGTGGCACAGCTGGGCCCCAGGCAACAGAGCAGACAGTAACAAGGAGTCCTTGTCTGATGAGACTAACCCCGCCGAGATCCATCACCAGCCGGGCGAAGCTGTCCCTTCGGAAGGGGAGAGGCCAGAGACCTGCCGACGCTTTGGGAGCCAGTCCATCCCGACGCAGCTCGTTTCACCCACGGGACCACCTCTCAATGTCCGCGGCCTTTAAAGTCAGTAAGTGACTGGCTTACGAGAAGCAAAAGGCATCCGAGAGGCTCAAAGCGAGCCGCAGTCAGCTGCTCACTGCCCCTCAGAAAGAGCAGCTGGCCCTGTTTGGGAATTAACTGTTACATAAACAGGATGCGGACTGGGCTGGGGTTTGTGCTGTTACTGGTCGGCACCTCCACTCCCCTGAGCAGCGAGCTGGGAAACGCCCGAGCAACGCTGAGCGGCACAGAGAGTTTCTTTAACAAAGGAAGAAGAACAAGGGAAGCAAGGTTTAGTTCCACAAATAGATCAGCTTCCTGCGAGCGCTGCCAGAAAGACAGCAGGGTTCTCATTTAAGTGGCGCTCTGCCCTCAGCTCAAGCACAGTGCGTGTCAGATACCAGCTAAGAAAAACCAGAACCTGCCTCTTACCTGACATACTTGGAGAGCGGAGGCTTCAGGCTGTGCGTGGTCGATATCCCCGAGGAAACGTACCTGTCTCTTCTTCTCTCGATCCGGCGCACGTTCACAAAATCCCTAAGCAAAGAAAGGGCGCTGACTGCTTTAAAATGGGCACAGGGCTTCGAAGAAGCAGATCCTGCTCTCCGGACCGCTGGGAAAGGCTGCGGCAGAGGTGTGTCAACACACGGACAAAGCACAGCTTTGTTATCAGGGAGACTGACTGACGGAGACAGATTTTGAGCTCTGAGACTCCTGCCAGAGACGTCTGGAGGAGAATTCAGGGGCTCCTTGCCTTTGGGAGCATTGCCCGCCCAGCCAGCCAGCCCTGCCTCGCTGACTCGGGGCGCTCACAGCCGCGGGCCGGGGCAGAGCGCTCTCGCTACAGTCAGATGCGTCTCTCTGTGTTTTAGGGGGGTATTTAGGGGCTCGATACAAAACAGATCGGGCAACAAACTGACCTTGGGGAAACGACACCGCCTGCGGCCCCAGCTGCCACGTCGTACGAGACGATTGTGTTGTCTTCAACCCGCTGCAAGATCTGGGGGGAGGAAGAGAGAGAAATCCTCAGACTGTGCCTGCAGGTCTGCACGTGCCAACAGCTGGGCGATGCAGACCCTCCCCTCAAACAGCCGCAAGATTCAAAGCAACCGGAGCATCCTTAGCAGCTGATTTGAGGCTGACGAGGACGAAGCCTTTGGCAGTGTGCGCACAGGTTCGTCTCCTGCCCTGGGACTGGCCCCTCTGCCTTTCGGGGCGGGGGGGCATGGGCGCTGCCTCCCGATCCCTGCCACACCGAGGCCACACAACACCCAAACCCTACCTAGCAAAGGCAGGCTTGGCTCAGCCGCTGGCCCATCTCCCTGCCCACCTCATGGGCTTTTGGATAGGCACACGCATGCAGCTGGCTACCGCAGAGCATTCGGATCGTACGGATGAGCGGCGGAGATTTAACGCCTCAGTGACTCGGATCCAGCTAAGCTCCAGTAGGGCCTGGGCACCGCCGACAGCCGGTGTTGGACTGGGAAGCTCCAGCTCTCCGCTCCAAGGAGCTCCTGTGATTAAGCCATCTTTGTCCGGCACGCTCACCTGGCAAGCTGCCACTGTTCTGTTCCACAGGATCATCTTCTCAGGCTGGAGAATAACCTCCTGGTAAACCGTTTCAGCAGAGCACTGCAGGAAGGCCTGAGGACAGAGCCAGAGCAGTTAGCCAGTCCCCCGCTCCACTTTGCTAAGGTTATTTTTAAGGAACGCAGGGCAGATCACAAGGAACAACTGGGATAACAGAGGAGGGGAGCGGCGAGGCTGGCCTGGCTCAGGCACATGCCAAGGCTGTCACCCCTCTGCCCCAGTGCTGTGGCTCCCAGGGGCCCAGAGGGCACACGTGAGGTCGGAGAGGACAGAGCAGACCTTGGGTTTCGGCAGTTGCTGCACTGCTGCCCGCCGAGGTCCGTACCGGTGCAAGAGAGGGCCAGCATCTGTCTGTAACACGGCGAGACAGACGGACCTTGGGGCTGACTCAGGCCGGCTCCTCTGCCACCCTCACCCCACTTCATCAGCAGCTCTGCTGTGTGCACGGTTGCTTCGGGAAGCGGCCGAGCAGCTACTCTGAGCTGTGGCACAGACAACATGCATTTCTCCACGTCCCCGTGGGACAGGAGATCTTTGGAGGCAAACGGTTAATGCAGTAAAGTGGGACCATCCAGCTTTTCCCCGCGCGGAGCCCCCCCACCGGCAGCCCCTGCCAGCAAGGCAGCATATGCACTGGAACAAAGAAAAGCCACCGCAGCACCAATGCTTCATTAAAGCGTGGTTTACAGCCAAGCCACTCCAGCGAGAGGGCACAGAGCACGGCACTTCCGAGCAGCTCTCCTCAATGCCAGGCGGCAGCAGACACACGCTCAGCCCTGGTCTTGCTGGCAATTAGTTGCAATTAGCCTCCTTGGTCAGATTAGTCCTAGACGCTGGGGTTGGAAGCGAGTCTTGCAGTCACCTGCTCCCACTTCTACCAGCAGAGACTGGGGCCCAGCATATTTGCTGGAGAGTTTGTCTGCCAGCCAAGGGGCTTTCCTGGAGAGACTCCCTAGAGCGTGCAGCGCAGTTCATCTGTCTCAAGCAAAGAGAGCATGCTTTGCAGCCTGACCTGTCCTGCCAGGGCCAAGAGCGAGCGTGAAAGCTGAGCTGTGGCACAGAGCAGAGCAGCCGCTCTTTGCCTGTACCACACAGGCCAAGGAAGTGAGCCAGGAAGGTTCTTACCTTTAAAATAAAGGTCTTGCCATGGAAAGGTATTTCAAAAGTGTAAACAACATCACCAAAGTCCTGTGCAAGAAGTAAGAAAGTTACATTTTTGTTAGCAAAAAAAATCTCCTTTTCTACAGGCTAAAGTCTGCTCGGTTGCAACCGCTGCGGCTGCAGGAGCCGTCCTGCCCCGTGTGTTGTTCCGGAGGACCCTCAGCCGCCCCCCAGCCGCCCCCCCCCCCAGGCAGCGACCCCAGCACGAGAACTGCGCTCGGCACGTTTCAGACGCACGTGCACAAATTTCCATAAACAAAACAATATCCAGAGCGGCAACAGTGATGAGACAGAAAAAGAATCCGCCCCGTGCCAGCCTGCAAACTCCACGTCAAGGTCAAATTCTCTTTGTAGCAAGCTACCGACACCAGGGTAAGAGAAAGGGGTTAGTTTGCCAACGCTGCTGTTGTTACCTACATCTGAGAAGAGACTCCCTGGAGGGGCTAGGGACGGACAGATGATAACCTTTCATCATTAGCCCCGTGTTAAACTCTGATTAGTCTATTTAAATCCATCCCCCTTTGGATAAAGAAAACAATCTGCCCAGCTAGTTTGGCATCAGACAATGGATCACTTGACAGGGGAATTTTAAACACCAGATGAGACTGCAGTTTGCAGGACTCTCACCCCAATCACGCCGCGAGCCCACGAGCAGAAAGCACGGTTGGTTTTAGCGAGCAGAGACACTGCCCCTTTCTCTCCACCCTTTGGAGAGAGAAAGGAGCTCTAGGTACCCCAGAAAACTCTGCTGTAGCTCAGAAAACGAGCCAGCGTGGCGAGGAAAGAGGGAGGGCAGGGTCTCCGTGCTGCCCAAAGTAGGAGGTGCAACTTGCAGACCCCTTTGGCAAAGCCGCAGCAGAAAGGCGTAAGGCAGCGACACCTCCCAACTTAGACTCCAGCACCCACGAGGTCCCTGTCCTGGGGAAGGGGGGGCACAAACGGCTTTGGGGGTGGGAGCAGCAGTCTGTGCCTGCTCCCACGTGGGCCAAAGCTGCCCCGAAAGGCCAGACCCCAGCTTGGCTTGGCGTCCCCGGGGATGCTGAAAGGCACCTTGATGCGGAGCAAGGGCAGGAGGTGCAGCAAAGGGGCCCTCCAGCACGCCTCCGCTCCTCCCCACGCCGGAGCCACGCACCCCAATGCCTACCAAAGGTGAGCTGCCCGCCTGCCGTCTAGGAGGAGGAGTGATGGGCTCTCTCCTGTCAAACAGGAAGGCAATTAAACGTCTAATTAAATAAGAGGGGATTTTACATTTAACTGAACTGGAATAGATTCCTAATTCAATCAGGTAATTGTAACGCTTGTTAATTTTTCATGTCGCAAGGAGGTTTCAAAAGCCTCATTTGTCCTCCCGTTTTCGCTAAGCCATCCGTGCTTGCTGCCGGCAGCGCTGCCCGGCAGGCGGGGCGGGGGGACACTTGCATTGTTCTTCTCGAACTTCCAGTTCTCCTCCTGGGCGAGGATTTGGTCCACAACCTCCATCGCATCCTTGCCTTGTCGGACGTACTCTTTCTCCTAGGAGAGAAGGGAGCATTTCATTCACTGGGTTTGCGGAACGCCTGAGGTGCGTGTGCAATGCGTGCTACCCCCTCCCAGGGCTGGCAGAGGGAAGGGGGATATCTCCCATCACCACACCACAGAAATCTCTTAATTTGGGTCACGGAGGCCTCATTGTGGAGCTCAAAGTCACGCTCCCCACCCTGGCTTGTATCCACACACCAGCTGCGTCTACCAGCGAGTCTCCCGCCTTAATGTCAGGGTTTCCAGCAGGCAAAGGGCTATGAGATGCCCAGAGCTTCCTTCTGTGGAGGTGCCAGAACCGGGGCTCAACGGCAGCAGAACCACTTGGAAAAGAGCACAGAGCAGCCTGTGCCCAGCCAGGCTTAGGGGAGGCGAAGCACCGCCCTGCGAGCCACAGTTCAGCGGGGACGGCCGCGGCACACACGGGGAACAGCCTGGGGCAGAGAGGCAGGCAGAGCCAAACTGCCCCAGAGCAGGAGTCTGAGAAGTGAGGGCCGGCAGCCTCTGGTCAGAGACTCGCTCAGCCCTGGATCAGCCCGAAGCCAACGGGCAGGGACAGCCGGCCTCAGACCATGCTACTGCTCTTTACCTGAGCTGTCAATGCCTTCCTCCCTGCACCTTCCTCGTCCGACTCGTTGTCTGACCCTAGGGCGGAAGCAGACAATTAACACACAGTTGATGAAGACCCCGCTTGTACAATCTCCCTCTGTCCTTCTCGCGGGGGACAGCCAGCGTCCGATCCCTGCGCCCTATCCGACGGGAAGGGCTGTCAGCAGGGACGGCCCCGCCAAAGCCCCGGTCATCAGGCCCCCGCTGCCCTGCTCTCCAGGAGGCTGAGCACGAACCGGGTGTCAGCTACACTGAGACAACGGCTCCGGCTGACGGCCCCTCACAGGGGAGGTCTTCGGAGCCAGCACGATGCAGTGTCACAGGGCAGCGGCGTGCTGCCAGCTCTTATCCTCACCTGCCTGTGGCAACTCACCCCCGTGCCCTCATCCTGAGGACAGCATTTTTCAAGTCCTTTAGCCACAGCGAAGAGCGTTTAATCCCAAGACCACACAAGGCTCCAGTTTCCCACAGAGCTGAAGCCAGGCGTGCGGGGCTGAGCACGACTGCTCCGCAGATGGCATGGAGGGGCCACGGCCATGCCCACCCTGCCCAGGCGCAGTGCGAGGAGAGGGGAGCCCATTCGGCAGTGTCAGTTCGTGGCGGCCCTGCCACCCACCGCTGCCAAGGGCCGGGATAACGAGACAGAGCTTGGGGAAGAGGCGATTATAGAGGTGAGGAGACACAGGAGGAATGCCATGAGGGGAACAGGCTGCCAGCGAGGTGATGGCAGAAGGGGAGGAGAGCATGTCTTACCTGCGAAAGACTCTGGCGGGGAATAGAACTGCCCCTCGGAAAGGGCTCCGGGGTAGAGCAGGGGGCCGCGGGAGGCTGCAGCCTGGGCTGCCAGGG